TATTTCTAATTTTCTGCCAACATCATCATATATATTTTGATTCACAACTGCCCAATTCTTCACCTAACCAATAACAATAGTGCACATCATCAATGAGCAAATTTATATAAATTATATTTGCAAAATATATGAAAATGAGTAATACCACCTGAATGACAATACATCCAAATTCATTTTTATTTTTATGCTTGATAACCAACAGAATATCACCACCTTGATGATTATATTTTAGATTTATTGCATCATAATGCATCCAAACTTTCTCAAATGTATCCAAGTCTGGTTTATATGTAATTTGGATGAAATGTGTAAACCCAATTTCATAATCCTTCCATGTATCGTGATGATCCTTAATTTTTCCAAATCTGGGAAAAAGTGCTTCCATGAAGTCCTTGACAGGTGTTCTACAAGAAAAAAATAAAATACTACCTCTTTTTTTAATACAGTGCATCCAAGTAGTCAGCAAAATGATTCTCATGCCAAGTTCTCCTTGGTCACCAGAATTAACTATTCCATCTATAGAAATTGTATTATTCAATACTGTTATTGCAGCTTTTCGATAATAGTCATTTTGCAAAGTCACCAGTGCTGCTTCAGCTAAAATGGGTTCTGATGGATAATAAATTAACACCTCTGTTCTATTTTCATTAACATAAGTTATAGTTGCCATATGATTACAAGTTAATTGAGAAGGTAATTTTGCTCTAGGACAAAGATAAAGGCCTACAGTACAACCAAAATGTGATAAAGCAGTTATGCATTTTTTTTCATAATTATTGTTGTTTCCCAACACTGAGGGCAAAATTGACCCAGTCAGTTTTATTCCTAGCCAAAGATATAGTCTCATTAATGTCACCTGTTGCTACAAGATTTGCCATCCAAAGTGGACGCACATATAAACAAAGATCAAATCCCATCATTTCTCTCAAAACATCAACTTCTTGGGGTAATTTTGTTTTATCACTACCAAAAAATTTCATTAGTGTCCATAATCCATTCTAAGCATCATTAAGTGAGCAAAAAATTCAAACCTGTATATATCTGTTGATGCAATATGTATAAATGGGCCTAAAAGAGTCTTCACATCATCTCCAACTTTTTTTGTCTATAAAATATAACAGTAAATAAATGAAGAAATAAGAAACTGTGTATGAAAAAATTATTTGTAAATCTTACAGATTTATCATCACTTTCTTTAGGAACCAAATTTCCAATACTTGAATTTGTATCTGTCATTATTCCAAATATGCAGTCTCCAATCCTGGATAGTGCTCTTCTGCACCTTCTATATGGAAAGTTATTATGGTCATCTTTACAATGATAGTTAAACATCATGTTAATATTAGATATTAAGATAAATTACCTATTAACCAATATATGTGTACTTATCATATGGAACAGTACTGGGATCCAATAGCCAAGAAGCTTCATCAAACATACAAAGTACCTTACCAGGACCCAGATCAGCACAACATTTTCATGTGGTCACAATAAGGGTGTTGCAATTTTCTCCAAAAAGATTATCCATTGCTTTTCCAACTTCATCCCAAAATTTTTTACTATTATTCTGCAACCATCATTGCATTGAATTAGAGAAACAATAATTAACAATAAAAAAAATTATTTATTAATGATAGACCTTTGGCACTGTACATCAAGCAAGGTTTAAATATTCGGAACAAAGCTCTAAAGGGTTGTGGTGGTAATGATGGTAATGGTGGTGGTGGTAGTGGTGGTGGTGGTGGGAATTTCAAAGAAAAATGATGTCATTTGAATACAAACCATCTTTTGCACACTTGATTCATGATTTCAATACAATTTCTAAATGTTTGGCATGTCACAGTTTTCCAAAAGCATCATTATCAGGACTCTGCTGTGAATTCTAAGATACTTTACTGTTACAGAAACTTGCACTTCGCAAACATAGGCGTAACCTATTGGTTATAAAATGCGGGGGAAATTATTAGCAGTAACAATATAATGAGAATGGTAAGTGGTAATGGAATAAAATTATTCTCTCTCGCAAAAACTATATACACTAATTTTTTTGTTCGCTGTGATCGACGTTACACATTCTATATATAAATAATAAAATCAAGATTTTAATATTAATATATATTATTAATGAACAAGAATATTTCGACTCTGGGATTTTAATTGACATGTATAACCAAACAGGTATTTTAGGTTCTATTAAAGAAAAAACTGTTACTGAACCAGCAATACCACCCTCCTCTTCTAATATCAATCAAACCCCAGAAAAAAATAACATCGGTTTTCCTAAACCTATTCATAGAAGTTTATTCAAGCAAAGATTGCATAATAAGAATAAGAATACTGTAAAGGAAACTCTAAATTCCACTACTACTAATGTAGACTTCACGTCAAATAAAAAAAATAATGATACAAAATTATTTGAAAAAGATTATTTTGAAATTGACAATGAAAACAATAAAACAATTGCTAATATGTCTGAGGATGAGATTTTAGAAACAATTGAAATGTTAAAAAAAACATTGAGACCAGGATTTATTGAAAAGATTACAAATAAAAAGCCTTTATTGGAACGAATACCATTAGAAGAAAATTATCAACATCAAAATCAACATAATGACAACAATAATGAGGATGAAAATTATGAGAAATCATATCAATTGGATCTTGCTGTGGCTGAAGATCTTAAAAAAAGAGAAAAACATGTCCATTTTGCAGAATCAATTGAGAATATCAAAGAAAGTAAATCTAGTGTCTTGATTAAGCAGGAAGACATTGGTGATGATGATTCAACACCAATTAAAATGAAAGAAAAATTTTTCTCAGATGTATCATTTGAATCTGAAAAATTAGAATGGATGGGTGTCAAGTTTAATAATATAAATAAGAGTGATGACGTTAAACAATCATCATCATCATCATCTACCAATTTAAAAACTAACAATCCAAGAGGAGGAGGGACTGCACCATACATTCCTACAAAAAATGATCCACATGCTGCATTCTTCAGATTTGATTTTTCTGGAAATATAATAGAAAAAAATATTGAAGTTCCAACTTACATGGGACTTCATCACCATGGAGATGAGCCTGATAGAGCTGGATACACTATATCTGAATTACTTCATTTGACAAGAAGTGTTGTACCAAGTCAAAAGATTATTCCTTTGAATATCATTGGTAGGATAATGAGAAAGGTAAGAAAGGGCCTTTATGGTTTTGAAAATAGCAAAGGAATAGCTGACTGGGTGATCAAAATGAAAATGCCTGTTTATTTGAGGGTTGCATTAGATGACAAAGCAGAGGCTGTTATAGTAGCTGCCATTGACACAATATCTGCTTGGGTTATTGGGTCTATAAAAGATCATTATGAAGAGGAGGAAAATTTATGGTATTGTTTTGGTAATTTGTATCGGGGATATGAATCATGCTCATTTTTGGAGAATAAGATAACTCAAACATCTAAAGAGTTTGGATATGAGATAACTTTACAACAAGATGATGATGATGAATTAAATAATAATGGTTCTGATGGTAACAATATGTTTGATAATCATGTTAACCTTGCAAAAAAAGATCTTGTTTCAGGATTAATATCTATGAACATTTTACAACGATTAAAATATCTTTTAGATGTTTTCAATTTACCACAAATCACAAATGATCAAATTTTACTTATGCTTGTTTGTTTTGCTCGACATTCTAGAATAACAGCAAATGCTATTTATAAAAGTCCTGAATTAGTGGATGTCATTCACAGGAAATTCATATGCTTATCTTGGCCTGTTGTTGTGAATGATGGTGACTCACCTTCATCAGATCATAAAAATCTTCCAAATTTATCAGCATTCAAGCTTTTACGTGCCTTATGTGTATCTTCAATTGAAATAAGTCGTAATATTAAAGAAAAATATGTTGGAACATTGTTAAGATATATGCTTATTGACCCATCAACTTTGTCAAATCAATTTGAGATAATAATTGGATATGATATTTTCTATGAAGTTCTTCGTATTTATCATACTTTGGTTGCATATGGACTTTATCACGAAATTTTTTCACAATTGTATACAGTATTTAGTGGTCATTTAATGAAAGAAGTATATTTACTTTCTGCATCATGGAGTAGTAGTAATAGTAGTAATACAAATTTATATATGACACAAAAGTTTAATATTGCAACTGCATTCTTTAGGTTATTAGAAGTATGGATGAGGAACCATGGACAACACCACTATCATGAACATCAAACTGGGGCTCAACCAAGTGAGTTTGTAAAGGATGCAACTGACTTTGTAGAAAGTTTAATTACAAGTTTTCCATTGATATCATCATCATCATCAACCGATGGCAATCATTGTGAAATATTCTCTGAGCACAAATTAGATTCAGCACATATGGAAAAAACTTTGATTTTATTATCAAGTATTGTTAGTTATATTGCATCTTGGTGTAAATATCTTTGTAGATATAAATTGAAAGATACTAGTGAAATCAAAAGAATTTGGGAAAAATTAAGGCTATTTTGTTTTACTTCCACCAATATTAACAAATACTTGAATCAAAAATTAAAATTTTCCATAAAAGAATTTCAAAATATAACAACATCTGATAAAGATGATAAACATGATAAATGGCAAATATCTAATTTACCAGGAATTTATTATCCAACAACTTTTGACTATTCCACGAAATTATTAAAAATATCAATATTTCTAGATTTATATTTATCTTTTGTGTCTTTAATAAATTATTCTACTAGATTATTTAAAGAAGACAAAGGGGATTTCACAAATGTTGCATTACAGTTATTAATTGGATCCATGGTACCAATTGATTTAATTCTTGAATTCACAATTAAAAAAAATCAAATTAAATCAAATTGGATTGATTTTTTCAGTAGAATGAATACATATTTACAATATGAATGGTCATGTAGTATTGATTTTCTTTTGGATTGTCCTCAAAACACGGTAGCAAGTAATCTTAAATATCAACATTCAATCAAATCATTACAGGTGAAATTAATTCTTATTGCTGATATTTTACCTGGTGATGAAATGTTGGCATTGGATACTCATAGAAAAATAATGGAAGTAATTATTAAGAATTCAAGTGATTCAGGTGAAACTGGAAAGATTGTAAAATTTCTTGACTCATTTTATAGGGATAGAATTGTTTCCAAGCTTTTAAAGAAAAACAAAGAATTTCAAAAAGATGGTGATGAACAAGAAGAAGAGAGTTTATTAATTGATGTTATTAATGAAAAGGGTAGTTTGCCATTGTTACAATCATATTTGTTTTCACCAATTGATATACTTTATTTCAAAAGTTCAGATTTGGTACTAGATCAAGAAGTCAAAAATGAGATTGTGAAAGGTTGCTTGAAACTCACATGTCAAATAAGGGATATCTTTAGTGGCAACAGTTTACCAATAAAGAATTATATAATTGAGCCACATTTTTTAGCATTATCATTGATGAAAATATTTTTATTAGAGGATGAAATATACAGAGATCCAAGTGTTGAGGTTTTAATAGAAGAATTGCTTGAGAAATTTACCCTGAAAAAAAGAATTGAAAATATTAGTAATGATGATATTGGTAGCAGTGGCAGTAGCAGTAATGATAGTAATTTATTAACTACATTTTATCAAACACTAGAACAAATAGAAATCAAATCATTATTAAAATCAACATTTTATCAATTCTATCAAGATTTTATAGATAATTATGTATCAGAATCATTTGGAAACAAATATTATACACAACTTTTACTTTTACCAATTTCATCCAAATATTCCACCAATTTCAAATTATTATTTTGGAATAAAAATGAACTATTGGAAATATTTAGTCAACCACTAAAGATCAAATATGATGAATTAGTGTGTATTGATGATGGTGATTTTATTAAATGTTTTTTATCATATTTTTATCCCATTGAAGAAAATTTAGTTATTATGACTGCATTTGTAAAGGCTTTGATTTATATTGGAGCCAAAAAAAAAGATTATTGTAACTCATCAATTTTGTATTGGATGATTATTCATCATTTGAATGGGTCAATATTTGAACAAAATGTTATCATCAATAATAATGAAGAAGATCAAGGTGGAGGTGAAGAAGGCAGAAAGAAAAATAATATTAATAATAATATAATTATTCAAAAGAAATTGACAATAATTAAAATTATGATAAAAAAAGTAAATATAGAAATAATAAAAGATTGGATCAATTATAGTTCAAAAGATTTTTTTTCAATTAAGGATTCAATTGGAAAAAAACCAAATCATTATAAAATATCACCTTTAAATTTTTTTAATCAAACAACTAATGAGGAAGCAAATAAAAGAATAGAATTGTTAAAATTGGTTGGAGTTACCAATGAAGAATTTTATAAACAGTTATTATATTAATAGTAATATAATTTGCAACAATAAAATAACATTTTTTATTTATTTGTATAATTTCTTGAAATAAATTAAAAAGCAACATAAGATTATGTATATATATAAACGTGTATATTAAATGTAAACAAATGGATTACTTTACCATATATTAATAATATGTTCTTTTATTTTATTTTCTATAGGAATCAGACCCATAGCAAATTCACAATATGTTTAAAAATGCCCATAATAACTTCATGTTATTGTTTTTCATCTTTGAATAATAACAAATAAAAATTTTTTTTTTGGTGGTATGACTCATTGAATGAGCACCTGAAAATGATGATCTCTCATCATCCAAATTTGGATTTATGATCCCTCATAAATGAGTGTGAATGAGATTCGGGAATCATGATTTTTAATTTGGGTGGCATCTATAATTCTAACTTTTAATCAAATAAACAATCTAACATTTTATAACTGAAGATTAAACATTTATATCACATTAAGGGACAATTTTAGTAATGGTCAGTAGTGTTAAAGGGTTAGTAACACCAATAAATTTTATTCATATTTCTGTATAAGTGCATAATTATCATATGCGCAAAAAGATTACTAATTGAATATTATGACCAGGGCTGGCTGCATAACCCTAAGGTTTAGTCAACATGACTTGACTAAAGTGTTAAGTCAAGTTTAGCCTTTTTCATGTAATTTGACGTAATGACTTAACTTTAGTCACTGACTTAACTTTAGCCACCTGACTTTAACTTTAGTCACTTGACTTAACTTTAGTCACTTGACTTTACTTTAGTCACTTGACTTAAATTTAGCCATTGACTTAACTTTAGTCACTTGACTTAAGTCTGGCGTAAAGGGTTAAAATCCTAATTTAGTAATTGCTTCCTGTCACAAGATATTCAACATAATGTTCAGCTAAATTAGGAAATTGGTTTTTTGGCTTTCATTTAGTTACAAAGGTCTAATTGTTTGTCAAAATCCACTAATATGGTAAGCCCTTCCTTTTTCTTTTTTCTTTTTTTTAATGGTTCTTCATCTGATGGTTTCCAACCAGGGCTGGAAATAGTACTTTAAAAATCCAGTTTTTCCTTTTAAGGATAGGGGCCATTTTGATCATATGGGTTCCATGCTAGCAAAAAGGACCTTCGGGCTCAAGAACCCCAAAATGAGTTATTGACACTGTTATATTCTTTGAAGTGATGATTATAATTTGGCATAATTTTTGTCAACATTCAATTAATAGAAAAGTGTA